ACCCCTAATTGGACAAAACTATCAACAAAGCCAGATAAGATAGCAGCTACAACACCGATAAGATATTTGGTAACGATTGATGTTAATATATTTAATTGTCGTTCCGAAACCATTGTTTTTATATATTTTTGTGTAATGTTTCGAAGACCAGTGAAGGTAATGGGCTTTAAAATAAAAGAATTATGTTTGTTATTAGCTTTCATAAGCAACATACGTATTAATTATTGTACCAACTTGGCTTATACTTTCTGTTATTTAACTATGAATCGACCTTAACTTTTTCTCTTTTCAGCTTTCGGAAATTTTCTGACGAAACAATAACGTTATTGTTATAGTCTGATATCAACGTGATCTCTGGAATTTTGCTTTATGCCCAACTGAGGTAGCTTGAGCCTTTTTGACGCTTATTAAAATGTTATGGAGCAAACCACATTAACAAAACTAGCGCCCTCATGTTTGCGAGCCTAAGGCCTAACTAGTATTTGTTATATTTTTTTAGAGGATAGAAAACGTCTTACAAAATAGCACATAGAACATCACACAGCATCCTCATTATACAGGCGGACTATGCGCTGTACCCGGGCGGCTCTAAAATTGTAAAAGGAATAGGAGCAGGAATTTTCGGCCTAACATTGTTCACATTCTTCTTTGTGCTCTTGTAAAAGATATATCCGTCTGTATAATTAGGTAGGTCTGCTTTAGTAACATTCCAAAATCTGAAAAACTTCTTAATTTGTACCAGAGTTGGGTCGGATACAGGAAAAAAGTATCCGAGTACCGGATACGGATACTTACAATGTATCCGGATACTTTTTAGGATACTTTCACCTAAAAAGTACTCGGATACAAGTATCCGGATACTTTCTCGGATACTTTTAAAGTGAGTTAAAATAATGTTTTTATACCAATAGTTATACTTATGCAATACGATTGATTACGTGTAACAATAAACAATACTAGGCATAAATAAATTATCGAAAATGGAAGGCGATATAATAGAAACAGGAAAAAACTACTCAATAAATTGTTCATTATTTTTACTCTGTGAATATAAAACCTTAAAACAAAATGAATAATAAAACATAAAGGTGCGTAAATAAAGCGAGTTGCGCCTGAACCGCGCCAAAAACCAGCCAGTGTAGTGTCTATATAAATCTAAAGACATTCTATACAGGGTGTTATTGAAATACACGTACATATTAAAATGGGGAATAGTATGTAATGACCAAAAACGATTGGCACCAATTTTAACTTCAAATTCTAAAATTTAAATATTGGGGAAGAGTCCCCTTTTCCGACCTACTAGTTTCCATATTTAAAGAAGTAAAATAAATCGAAATTGAACTTACCCATAGAAATTGCACTGTTGCCGTAGCAAAACCAATTAATTCAAAATAAAGTTTATTACAGTAATTGTTCAAAATGCCGTCCATTATTATTTACACACACTTGCAATCGTCTTTCCAAAGAACTTTGAACATTAGAAATTAGTCTTGGATTTTGTCGTAGTTCCTCGGCTACCGCATTAACTTTATTGGTTAATTGTTTAACACTATTAATAGGTTCATTATAAACCAGTTGTTTCATGTGACCCCACAAAAAGAAATCGCATGGATTTAAGTCCGGAGATCTCGGAGGCCACTTAGTAAGTCCATTTCTGCCTATCCACTTTTGAGGAAATCTAATGTTCAAAAACTGCCGTACGTTTAAATCTAAGTGAGGAGGAGCGCCATCTAGTAGGTACCACATCCGTTGCCTTAATTGTAACGGTATCTCTTCTAGGAGTACTGGCAAAATATCTTCTAAAAAGTGGAGATATCCTGGCCCATTTAATCTGTTCGGGAGAACATAAGGCCCGATTAAATACTGATCTATTATGCCAGCCCAAACATTTATTGAAAATTTTCTTTGATGCCCAGTTTCCCTAATGGCGTGAGGATTTTCATCACTCCAAATATGCGTATTGTGCATATTGAACACGCCATCACGAGTGAATGAAGCCTCGTCAGTATACAATAATATTTTTAGAAAATCAGGAATATCAACACATTTTTGAATCATCCATTCACAAAACTCCACTCTCTTTTCTTCATCACCTGGATATAAGGCCTGGACTTTTTGGATGTGATAAGGATGTAAACCTTGTTCTTTAAGTGTCCGCCACACAACAAATGAGGACACTCCAATTTCAAGACCTAGTCTTCTACAACTTAATTGAGGCCGGTTTTCAACAGCTTCCAATATTTCTTCTTCGGCCGCCAATGTTCTTTGTGTTCTTGTTCTCCCTCGATCTGCATTGACACTCTCAAATTTTCCATGGTCTCTTAGATGCTGAACAGTTGAAATAAACGTACGACAGTCCGGAATTATCCGATTTGGAAACCGTTCGCGATACAGGATTTGTGCTTGCCGAGAATTTTCTCCAGCTGCCCCATAAACCAGCACTATATCCGTTAGTTCAATATTCGTAAATAGTGGCATCGTAAAAAAATATTTAAAAGTAATCGTAACAACACTTTTTACCAACTTGGAAATGACGCGCTCGTGTTAGCCAGATTCGTAAATCAACTAAAATTTTAATAATCTATAGTTTCAAAAATGTATAGTTTAAAAACAATCATTTAACAAATATTCTAGTTTTTTGATAACGAGGGTAGTAAAAACCAGTCTTCGGAAATAGAAATTAATTCGAAAATCTTGGCAACATGGTTATTTCTTACAAGACTAGTTTTCTTATCATCTGACAAAAACTTGCATATTAATTACTGTTGATGTTTAAAATAGATAAATAAACCTAATTTATATAGGTCATCCTCAACATATCAGTGAAGTACGTTTGTTTTAGAATTAATTTTCAAAAATTAATAACTCCCTTAATAAGGGGTATTTTTAAAAAATTATATTTTTCTACATTCAGTGGGGATCTGCGCAATCCCCAGTTTTAATATGTACGTTTATTTCAATAACACCCTGTATATCGAAATTTTTATTCTTAATATTTTTGTTATTTTAAACTGATCTGCCAAGATAAAAATATATATTTTTTAATTATGCACTTTTTTTAAAAACTGGCTCCCGATAAATCTATATAATGACATTATGTAACCATTCCTAAAATTTCAAATTTATTTTTACTTTTTTAAAATTACTTTAAAAATGGATTTTGAAAATAATTTTACATGTTAATAGAAGAAAGTAGAAATTTTAAATTTCAGGAATGGTTAGATAATGTAATTATTTAGATTAGTGGGGAGCCAGTTTTTTAAAATTGAGCGTAATTAAAAAATATATACCGGGTGTTCAAATTAAAGTGTTACAGTTAAATACCGCCGAAAATATGCATTTTAGAAAAAAAAGTTTCAGACAAAAGTTTTATAGTTTTTTGGGGGAAACATTTTGGCTAAATTCATTTTTTTATGGCTGACCATAATATGGCCATATCGAGGTGAACTTTGTTTTTTTTAAATGGGAATCCCATTTTTTTCTTACATATTCTTAAAGTACATAAAAAAATAAGAAACTTTTGAGAGAAATATTTTTTTTATTGGACTTTTACTTTTTGAGTAACAGCTACTTGAAAATGTTGCTGCGCGAAAAAAAGTTGGCCATATTATGGTTAGCTATAAAAAACGATTTTAGCCAAAAGTTTTTCCCTACAAAACTATAAAACTTTCGTCTGAAACGTTTTTTTTTTTTTTATAAAAAGCGGTATACAGCTGTAACGCTTTAATTTAGAACACCCGGTATATTTATCTTGGCAAATCATCTTAAATTAAAAAATTATTATAGTTTCGTGTAAAATGTGAAAAAAAAATTCATTTAAATCGCTTGAGAAATATAAATAAAGTATTTTTAAGGGTATTACTTCCTCTTAATGGATCAGTTACGATTGTGGTAAATAATTTAAAAGTATCCGAATGCCGAAAAAAGTATCCGGTATCCGGATACTTACAAATTTGGTCACGGATACGGATACCGGATACAAAATTTGAAAAGTATCCGGATACAGCTTTCGGATACACATAAAGTATTCGGATACGGTATCCGGATACAGAAGTATCCGGATACTACCCAACTCTGATTTGTACTCATATTTACAATGCAATTATGACACGGCCGTCCTGCAGTAAAGAGGTGAAAAATGTGAATATTGGGAGCGAAAATCATGTACATTTGCTTTTACAGTTTTAACGGGCTTTCAACAAATTATGTTAACCTATTTAAGTGAACAAAGCCTTATTAGGTCAAACATGATACTCTTGCCAGTTATTGTATAAAAAGCTAGAGCAAAAGCTGAGAAAGATTAAAGAAAAGGCCAATGCCCACTACACCGGATCATACTATGACCGTGACCGTACCGGCATAGGCAGAAAAATATTCTTTGTATAGATTTAAATGAGACAATGCCCACTAGACCGGCCCGGCATCGACCACACCATCCTCACTTGAATCTATACAAAAAAAAATCAGGTCCGGGCACGGTTATAGTGTGGTACGGTATAGTGGGCATAGACCTTATGGAGTTAAGATCCTACAAGAAAATTTTGATGAAATATTAAAATTAAATTAAAATATATAAAAAGGTAAATAAAAAATATTATTTAAAACAACGAACTACCACTGTCACTAAATGTTTTTGTCTTTTTACCTAATTTAGAGAATATATAAATACAATATTTGTTTATTTTGCTTTTTCATATATATTCAAAAATTATCTTCAAAAATAATATTTTTTACTATTTTCTACATTATATTAAAAAAATATTATGTTTAGATTAAATTACATGAATATTTATAACGAATAAACAGGCCTGGTGGGCCTAAATGGAGATTGCCATGTTTATTACTTGAATTCAAAATTTAATGAAGTTTTTTCTTGTGTAACCTTCTTGTAATTTATTATTTGTAAAAAAATATCAATTAAGACCTGTCTATTATATATGAAATTTGGATTTTAATATCTGAAATTTTCAACACCTATTATTAATGTTTGAATGTGACGCCGCCTATGATTTTTGTATTGTACTTTTTATGTTGTTTTTATTTTGCAAAACTTGATTTTATTCCATCGGGACGAGACATTTATAGACAGGAATCGGTTGCAATAAGTAAAATATTAGTATGAAAAATAGTTTAAAAATGGTGCAACCGTTACAAATAATGGATAGTGGGCTCGACTTAGACAGTGCTAAACAGTAAGTTATTGTCAATTTTATAATAATATCTAATCATAATGTTAAAAATATATTTAAAATCCTTATATTATGTGTTTTAAATTTGTTTAGTTTCTTATATCAGCACCTTTTTCCATCGTTCAATGCAGTTTTGACTTTTTCAATACTTTTTTGAAAAAACCGCTTTTGTTGCTAATTCAACTCAATTTACTGTTATTTTTATTTTTTTTTAAGTACAGAGTTATTCATTATAAATTACCCACCCTCTATCATCGATATTATTATATACACAGACATTTTTTTTATAAAAAGTTGTGTGATTTTAGTTGTTTGACTCATAAACAACACTTTGTGCAATAAAAGTTTTTTTGTGTTTAATAAGGCGCGTTTTTCAAAAAAGCTAAAGTATACTTAGATTCTATTTAAAAAATTATTATTTTTTGTTGTACATGTAAAATTTGCGCGGAATTTTGTTTTTAAGGTCATAGACCCACACCACTTGTTTAAAACATTTTTATATTTTTGAATATCCGATATACGATGGTAAAAGGTAGGTAATTTATAATGAATTGCCCTGTAAAATGTTACTATTTACATTATTTTTCCTTTCTTTGTTCGTTTCAATATTTTACTCTTGGTAATTATTTAATTCCTCTGACAGTTTCTTTCCTCATTAAAATCGATACAAGACACATTATAATGAAAATTTTGATTTGCATTTTCGGATCTGAAAAAGTGATGTATGGGATCAGATTTCTATGGATTTTATCCACTGAACAAAGGCAAATGCCTCTTTAAGCCCATGTCAACCAAACTGCTTGGTATAATTTTTTCTTAAAATTTTCGTGAGTTAGCAAACAATTCCTGATAATAATTTAGGCACGTGTGGTATTTGATAAGAAAATTTTACACCAAAATATTAAAATTTCAAAACATGATAGACATGAATTAAAACGACTAAAATCAAATTTGCCAATTGACTATACCATTTATCAAATTTGAAGTCGTTTAGTTGACACAAAAAAAATATTAATATTTTACTTAAAATAAATGTAGTGTATTTCTATCTAAATAGTTATAATTGAAGGGGTAAATGACAGCAGGTGTTTTTTTTTTGGTGTCATCGGCCTCAACTGCTATGGTTATTAGCCTCGTGTTCTGTGTAGGCTTTGTTACTATTTCCTAGCGCCACTTTAGGAACAGCACTGTTAATTAGAACCCAACAGTGAATGGTCGAGTGGGGAATCCTACCAAGGCATCAGAATTAATTTTAAATAATTAAATTAAATGAAAAAATCCCCGGCCAACGGTGGGATTCGAACCTGAGACCTTCCGATCTCAAAGTCATGACTCCAACCACTGAGCCAACCCACCCCCGACAGCAGGTGTTATCTAACATTTTGTCAAAAATTGACTTTTATATCTAAATGTATGTGTACAGTTCATCAAATTTCTAGAGGTGTTCGACGCCCAGACAGAGAACGCGCTACGTGTGACTAAGATAGCTATTGTACAGTCTGCTAAACAAGTTATTTTAAATAGTTTTTAATATTTTTAGGTAATTAAATTTTAAAAGTGTGGAATAGTTTAGGGATTAAATTGGTCTGATTGGACTTTCTTAGAACGTTTTTAAAAGCAGCTAAAGATAGTATGTAGAATTGAAAATAATTATTATGCCATAAAAGGTGTTTTGGAATTCCTTCAACCTTTTGAAATTGAGTCAGAAAATATAAATTTTATAGGATAGCGGAAAATACCTATAATTTTTTTGTAGGCCTTTGTAAATCGTGGAAATAGTTTATATTTTATTTCTACCTTATTAAGGAAAATGGTACCTATTATTAATAACGGTTGTTTCTGAAACATTACTAAAATTTTCGAAATTTTGTTTTTCTACAAAATAATAAACTATACTATTTAGAAAAAAATTTATTTCTCTTATAATTTTATAAAAAATAACAGAGGAATATTTACATTTCTTGATCTATTAAACAAAACGATAAATTATCTCGACGAATGACACCATGTTCTAGTACGGAAGCTAGCTTTACATTTTTGTTGGTGGTTTCATGGGTTTTATATCAATTTTTTGTAATTGTAGTTTACACGTACATATACCTCTTAACACTTGTTTGCTTTATTAAAAAAGTGTGTTGTGATTTACGTCGAAATAAGTCAAAAACAACTTGAAACCCCATATAAAATCAAAAAGGAGAAACGGAAAAAAATTGAGCCTGTAAATGAACACAACTCAGAAACAAAAATAGCTATCTAATAATAAAAAAATAAAATTTGATTCTTGTGCAGCTTCATCTATATCATTAACTGTTTTTGGTTTTTTAACGGTTTTTCTTGGTGATGAAAATTCCGATATCTCACGGTTATCGATTCTTTTTTTCTCTCCAGAAATGCGGACGACAGTGTTTTTAGATACTCCTGTGGCTGCAGCAACACGATCATTTACATTTTTAAATGGTATTGAAGGTGAATTAAAGTTTCCTTCTCTTCTCATAAACTCTATAACATTGGCTATTATTTCGCGAGATTGACTGTTAATCACGCGGCCTCTTAATTTGCTATTAAACTCCATACTTAGGTTCTATTAAACTGTAATGAGCAAAAAACACAAACGAAAATAAATGAAATGTTTTAGCGAAATTTACATCTGACATTTACGTCTGAATGAAATAGTGAAAGACTCGATGCGCAGAGTGTACTTTCATTGCGTAAATCCGTCGGGATGCCTGTCAGTAGTGCTTTCTCTGTCTAGCCGTCGAAAGCCTCTAGAAATTTGATGAACTGTAATGTCGATATTTACCACCAAAAAATTCATGGTCGTCTCTCTCTAATATTTACGCAAATATTTGTTCGAAGGTGTTATACAGTATGTCCCCCTAAGTTGGAATCATATGGAAAACTTTTTTATTATTAATTTTAAGAAAAAAAGTTATTCTTCATAAAAAGTTCTGCATTATCTAAAACCTGGAATACATTCATCAAATATCAAATTTTTTTAGTGGTTTACGAGGTTTGTCAAAAAATATGAGTTTTACTCCGAACATTTTTACTCACACTGTAGTTACAATGACTCATATTTCGTTTTTAGAAATTTTTTTGTTTGTATTTCGGGTACTAGCGTCATATAAACTTATTATAATATAGAATTACATTCCTAAATAAATAAGTCGTTTTCTCCCGATAAGGAGTCATCATCAGTTTCTTCACTTCTCATAGAAATATTAATTAATTCTATTGTTTCCTCTACAGGGTGAGTCGGGAGGAGCGCCCCAAACTCTAGGAGTATATTATACACGTCAAAATAATGTAAAAAACCCATATATTCTTATCTGATTTTCATTTGTTTTCAAATTATAGCATATTAACAAATAAACAAATTTACACATAAAAATTCTATTAATCATAGCTTTCTTATTGAAAGAACATTTATTGAAAATGTTCAAAAATACCGCCATTGACTTCTAAACATTTTCTGCTTCGTCTACGAATAGCATTTGTTGCTCTCCTAATTGATTCATTTCTTTCTTCTTTAATATGGGCTGCAGTATTCTCAATTCGTCTAATTAGTGCATCCCGTGTGTCCACTTTTATTTTGTAGACTTCATTTTTCATCCAGCCCCATAAACAAAAATCTAATGGTGTGAGGTCTCGGGATCTTGCAGGCCAATTAATAGGACCTCCACGATCAATCCAACGCCCTGGAAAACGTTCGTCCAAATGTTGCTTGACCTGATGAGCGACATGTGCAGGAGCTCCATCGTGCTGATAGTACATCTGCATTCTAATATTTACAGGAACATCCTCTAGCAGGCCTTGTAATTCATTTTGTAAAAAATTGAGGTAGTTGTCTCCTGTGAGACGATTCTCCAAAATGAAAGGGCCAATTAAATAACTGTCAACCATACTTCACCACACGTTTACAGAAAACCGATGTTGAAAATTGCTTTCGACTGTTGCGTGGGGATTTTCGTCTGACCATACATGAGTATTATTAATGCCATCACGGTTAAATGTGGCTTCATCCGTAAAGAGTATACTCGATACAACACGATGATTATTATTTATCCACCGACAAAACTCCATACGGTTAGCGTAATCCTGTGGTTGTAGGTGCTGTACTCTCTGTACGTGATAAGAATATAAGCATTGCTCGTGGAGTGTGTTTATCACTCCTTTTTGTGGAATTCCCAATTGAGTGGCAATTCTCCGTGAGCTAGTAGTTGCATCTTCTTCTACTAGATGCAGAATATTTTCTACTTCTACAAAACCTTGTCGAGTAGCGCGTTCAGATGTTATGAAAGCACTGGGAAGCTTACCAGTCTCGCACAATTTGTTGAAAACTCTAATAAATACGTTTTTATCAGGATGTCTTCGGTGTGGAAAACGTTGACGATATCCTTCAGCAGCAGCTGTAGCATTTCCATTACAGAAACCATAAACAGACCCCATATTTGCATATTCTAAATTTGAATAAGTATCTGACATTTTGCAACACTATAACAATCACATAAATTCGAAATTAAACGTTTAGTTACTGTTCACTGTACACTGACAGTTCATCAAAACGTCAGAATTATCAAATGCCTTTGAGCCTTGAACATATGGCATACTTTGATAATGTTAAAATTCAGAAGTGGAAAGCTAGATGAACATTTTTAATTACGCCATAACTTGAAAACAAATGAAAATCGGATAAGAACATATGAGTTTTTTTAAATTATTTTCACGTCTGTAATATACTCCTAGAGTTTAATGCGCTCCTCCCGACTCACCCTGTATAACTGAGCATGAACGTTTCTGTACATGATTATATTCTGTATTAATTCCTTGTTCAGTGATTATAGCGTATTTTGCTTTTTTTAATCTCGTCATTGTCATTTAATATTACTGATCAAGTTTTCTTTATCCAACTACTACTAGCTCAATCTTGTAATAAAATAATATTTGAGTTCGTTAAATAATGAACAAAAGATATGCTGTTTTCTCATGTATTTTTAGATATAATGAACCTATTTGGAAAATTTGGAAACACAAGAGATACATTATATCAATTTTAGCGTTTTTTGGTTTCATGAACGTATACGCTTTAAGAACAAATCTCAATATTGCCATTGTTGATATAACAGCCTATAAAAATATCACGTTAGAAGATGGCACAACAATTCTGGTGAATATTGACTCATATTTATTAGTTAAATAAGGCAGTTATAATAATTTTATTTTATAGAAAAGAGAATTTGAATGGGACTCCACCATAAGAGGTTACGTATTGAGTTCTTTTTACTATGGATACGTTTTAACCCAAATTTTGGGGGGTTATTTAGCTGTACAATTGGGAGGTGCTAAAGTATTTGGATTTGGAATAGCCGCTACTTCTTTTTTTACACTGATTACACCTTGGATTGCAAAAACCAATGTGTATTTACTTATTGGTGTGAGAACCATTGAAGGAGCATTTGAAGTAAGTTGTGAAAAAAAAAACGATATTATTTGAAATATTTAATATATTTTTATGGACTTTAAGGGTGTGACCTATCCAGCTATTAACGAAGTTTGGTCTCACTGGGCACCACCAACAGAAAAAAGTCGCCTGGTCAGCATTGGTATATCAGGAGGCTATTTTGGAGCAGTTTTCGCTATGCCTATATGTTCTGTAATTGCTACTACATATGATTGGGAAAGCATTTTTTACGTTTTCGGTAGGAAAAATAAGATATATTTACGACACCTTCTCGTTTATAATGAATGGTAACTTTAGTAATTGTTAACAAAACACTGCTGGAAACAATAAATCTTCATAGGTATTCCTTATTTTTAGGTACACTTGGTTTAATTTGGTACTTGATATGGATCATTGTTGTTCGAGATAATCCTTCAAATGATTCCCGAATAGACCAAAAAGAACGAGTTTATATTAACGAATCTATAAAAGCTGTCAAAAGTGATTCGAAGGCTATAGTACCTTGGCTTAAGATACTAACTTCACCTGGTGTGATAGCTAACACGATTTGTTTAAGTTGTGAGGGATGGGGGTTTACTACTATGTTGACGTATCTGCCACAGATGATGAAATGTAAGTAGTATCAGTGTTTTTTGTATGCATTTTCTTGAGATACTTTTAGAACAGACTAGAAATAGTTTTTAAACAATAATAGTATATTATTCAACGAGCATATAATGGTAGCTATTATTCACAAAGATGAAGTTTACAACACGAGCCGTAGGCGAGTGTTGCAAATCAGCTGAGTGAATAATAGCCATTATATGCGAGCAGAATACTATACTTTGTCCACGACTTTTAAATGAAATTAACTAAGAATCATAACAAATCTATTTTTTTTATGAAAATATTAACATAATTAATCTAATACCTTAACTAACTACTAACTAACTAATTAAATAAATAACTAACTAGGTACCTAACTTATATATAGTTTATTTACTTATATTAATAGTAATATTTGCATTTACGCAGTTGTGTAGAGTTATATTAGGGATCGAATTTGAGCTATCTACATTGATATTTTGGTTGGTGGTAGATGTAGATGCAGATGCGATCTGCTGATGATTAGATGTATATGCAATATGCTGATGATTAGTAGATGTACTCGTAGATGCGATCTGCTGTTGATAACGAGATGATTCAATGGATTTCGATATTTTTGAAGCCGTGTCCATTTTATTTTTCATCGATTCGTCAACATAACCTTCGGCTACCGCTGTAGACTTCCACCCCCATGCCTTTTCAACGCGGGTATATCCCTGCCCGCGTCGACTAATATAGTCGCAGCAGATCTGCGGAAACTGTGCCCAGAATATTTTCCTGGGTTGGGTAATTTCAAAAATTTAGCTATGTCTTTTCCCATTTGGGTAAATTTATTAAGCCCAATTCTTTGAGAGGTGCACTTCCCATTCAGGAAGTTAAAAAAAAAGACATTTGCATTTGAGGTAGCCCAACCAGGAGGACGAAGGTTTATGTATCGTTTGCAAATTTCATAGAAATGGTCGGTTACCGTAAATTTTCGTAAATTTCCATTGCATAAAAGATTCATACGCAGAGGTATAAAGTTTTTTAGATTTTTCAGGCAATAAATTTAAAGCCACCAATTTTGCCTCTTCTTCGATATTTTGAAACATTTTAAATTTTTTCAAATTTCAAACATACAGAAATTACTAATTTCAAATTCAAATTGATGTGATTTGACGGATTTGACATTTCTCAGCCTTAAATATGATCTAAGCGTCGACGTGCAGCAAAACGTTCTTAGTACACCCATACTACCACATGTACACCTACGTAATATGTGTTGCCTATAATCTTATATACAGAATTATGGGTACGGATTATGAATATGTAAAATGTTGGAGCCTCGGTTCTCGGTTTATTTTCAGGAAAACAGAAAATTTGAGTCATGCTTGGCAGTTTTGTTTGTAATTTTGGAGTGCTAAATAATAAGTATTTAACAAAATAAAATTCTATTGGTAAGTTTGATGTTTGTTTGATCACGCATAGTAACGTAGATATTGTAGTGAAATTGAGGTTTAACCCGAAAATATAAGGCTTTATTCAACTAAATTGACAGTGTCATATAAATCAATAACATTAAACAATTGAACATTCAAACATAATAAAGGTCGATTCACTACATTCTTCCCATGTTTAAAAATAATCGCCTAGGTACTTGGGTCTAGAACGGGTTCTTTCAGAACGACGTAACTCTTGGCATTGGTCTCCAGACTATTCGGAAGTTTCGCAATGACGGTTGGATGATTCCGGGATAGTTGGCATTTCAGTTAAAGGGTTGTCGACTTGCAAATTACTATCTTCACTACTATCTACATTTATCTCTTCTTGTTGGGTTGGGGCTAGATGCCTGTTTGAAATGGTAACTTCTCTGCCGTTTTGTAAGCGAACCAGTGAGTAAAACGGATTAGGTTGAAGAAGTTCAGCCTCATCCACTATGGGGTCATATTTACTTTGTCGGACGAGACGTTTCACTAATATGGGGCCTGGTTGAAGCCATGATGGTACTGACTGGCCATTAGCAGATCTTCTGGGGTGTGCAAACATTCTCTCATGCGGGGTCTCGTTTGTTGCCGTGCATAACAGCGACCTGATAGAATGTAAAGCTTGCTTCAGTACCAGTTCCCAGTATTTCAAGTCCCAATTCCTCGTTCTTAAGGCCAATTGAACAGACTTGAATATGATTCCATTGTATCTTTCTGTTTGCCCGTTACCTTTTGGATTGTATGGTGTTGTAAAGCTCGTAGCCACCCCTCTCTCCCTTAAAAATTGCTGGACTTCGCTTGATAAGAAAGATGCCCCTGGGTCGGAGTGGACATAGCTGGGTAAACCAAAAACAGAAAAGATCAACCAAACAGTTGATGACTGTTTTTGAGCTTAAATCAGGGCAAGGGTATGCAAAGGGAAATCTTGAAAATTCATCTACTATAGTCAATAAATAACGATTGTTTGTGTTCGTCGGTGTAAGACCTTTAAAATCTATTGATAATCTTTCGAAAGGAGATGTTGCTTTTATAAGGGTTCCCGAAGTAGTAGCAAATTTTGGTTTGAGTGAGACAAGATGAGATTATTGTCTTAATATCATCTATAGAGTACGGCATATTTTTAGAACGCACCCAGTGAGCAAGGCGCGTGACACCAGGATGACAGAGCGTTTCATGAAGCTGGATCAGATTTTCAGTTCCACTAGTGACCATAGCCACTACTCTGGAGAGTACATCGGACACATTATTCTCAGCCCCAGGGCGGTAAATTATATCAAAGTGGAAACATGACAGTTCTAAACGCCACCTCAGGATTTTCTCATTTTTGATTTTAGATGCATGTCTCTGATTGAACATGAAGCTTACGGATTTTTGATCGGTTATCAGTTTAAAGGACTTGGCAATCAGAAAATGCCTCCGTCTACGTAGAGACTCAACTATCGCATATGCTTCCTTTTCTATAATGGAATGACCTTTCTCAGACGCAAACAAAGTCCTTGCGAAAAATGCTACCGGACGTCCACCTTGTGATAAAGACGCTGCTATGGTATGTTCCGAAGCATCTGTTTCAACGGTAAATGGAATGTTAGGATCAATTGAGTTGACTGCAGCCCTAGCAATATCTTGTTTCGGATTATTAAATGATGCAATAGCGGATTCTACAAGTCTGTATTACGGGTCGTATTTTTTCTGAAAACTTAGCTATATATTTCGCATAGTGAGCAAACATTCCAATAGCTCTTTTGAGAGTACTTGAGTCTTTCGGCAACGGTAGTTCTAGTAAAGGTTTAAAGCGGTCAGGATCGGGCCTGATTGTGCCGTTGAAATTGAGGTTTAACCCGAAAATATAAGGCTTTATTCAACTAAATTGACAGTGTCATATAAATAAATAATAATAAACAATTGAACATTCAAACATAATAAAGGTCGATTCACTACAGATATGTTTTTGAGCTTAGGTTTATTTTGAGACATTCAAATTTCTTTTTATTAGATTAAATAAATTTGGCACTATAATAATAGTATAACATTTTGTCCTAAAATATTTGCTGCCTATAAAGAATATTTTCATATCAGTTTAGACATACGTGATGTCGTGACGTCATACCGTGACTAATGGATCATTATTCACTAGTGAATAATAGGTATTATTATTCTTAAGGAAGTACAAGTATAACGAATGTTTTATAGAATAGTCGTGGACAAAAATATTTAATTTAGATCATTCCTTTCTCTTTATTCGCATTTTGTAACATTTTTCAGCACTTCTTGGTTTCGACTTAACCAAAGCAAGTATTCTAGCAGGTCTGCCATATCTTGTTACTTCAATAAACGTTCAATTGGGTGGTCAAATAGCAGATTTTCTATTTAGAAGAAAATACATGACTACCACTAATGTTAGAAGAAGTTTAATTATAACTGGATTTTTGAGTCAAGCAATTTTTATTTTAATAGCAAGTTATTGGATTTCTCCGTTAGGAACGCCTCTTTGTTTAATAATGGGCGTGGGAATGGGAGGAATAGCTTTAAGTGCTATGTCGTAAGTAATCCATTATTTTTTGTAGATTAAAATCTACGAGGTTTCCCGCCAATATTATATTCACTATTTTAATTAACATTATTATTAATTTTATTTATTATTTTTATATTATTTTAGGATAAACCCCTTAGATCTAGCACCCAAATTTGCAAGTGTGATATTTGGTATTAATAATACTATGGCAGCTATACCAGGCATTGTATCGCCTATAATAACAGGATATTTAGTCACAGATCCAGTAAGTAACGATACATTTACAGATTGATTTTACTAATAAGAAGCAATCCTTTAAATAAAAAAATACCTATTAATGTAACCCGAATATTTTCAAAACGAGTAGAGCCAGATCCTACAAAATAACTTCATTTTTCAACCTGTTACAAACACAAATTTTTTTAATTTTAACTAGATTATTTTTGAAATTTTGAATAACAAAACAAATTTTTTGGACTTTCAAGATTTCAAAAAATATTTATTATTCTAATTTGCTTGTCAAAGCTTGTTATGGATATTTTTGGTTTTTCTTCAAAATATCATGCCAGTGGCGTGTATTGCGTAAAAAAGCCTTTCGATTATTTTGTTCAGATTTAGGATAAATCAAGACAGTTGGTATTATCGGTCACTAAAAGTTTTTATTCAAAAAGCACAATATTATAGTGACGCGAAGCTGACTCTATTCTTTGTTTACTATCTTGCCTGCGGTATAAAGTCTAGCGTTGGCCATATAGAGACAAACGCACTGCTTCGAGAAGCAACCTGGGGTGATTGCTGTGCGACGTCTGAGTCATAGAGAGGGAGATTTCAGACGTTCTCGATCGTCAAGTGCGCGAATTTGTCGATAGACGGGAAGTTTCAGTTTAAGTGCTGTATAGAAAAGATAAATTATAATAAATAAATTAGAATTGTAGGTTGTCTAAATATTATATAAATTAATTAGTACGTTATAAATAAATTATAATTAAAGTGTTTAAAATAAAGTATTTTTAAATTAAACCAACGTTACATTGGTGTCAAAAGTGGGATTTAGAGGAGTGTTTTCACAGATTCAAGGGGGAACAGAAAGAGTACTGGGTTATTTTAGTAAAGTGCTCTCGAAACCTGAGAGAAAATACTGCGTCACAAAAAAAGAACTCCTAGCAGTTGTGAAATGCGTGAAACACTTCTACCAATACCTATATGAAAGGAAATTCCTAATCCATACCGATCATGCAGCCTTTAAGTGGTTCATGCAGTTTAAAAACCCAGACGGACAAATCGCCAAATTGATTTAACGAATTCAAGAATACCCTCTTAGGATTGAACACAGAGCCGGAATAAGCCAGAGAAATGCCGATTCTCTTTCTAGGAGACCGCGCTCAGCAGAGTGCTCTCACTGCAACAAAGCAGAATCCAATGAAAGTGGAGTACTAAGAATAACTGTAGTTAAAGATGAGTTGGCCCCTACCAAACTTAGAGAAGAACAAGGGAACGATCCCGTTTTAAAGAAGATAAGACAATGGAAAGAGGAAAATCGTCGACCTACTTGGCAAGAAGTATCAAATCTCTCTCCAGTGGTTAAGTCATATTAGGCTCAGTGGGACTCTTTTAACATGGAAGAAGGCTTATTAAAGCGAGTACTAGAGAATGATGATGGTTCCGAAAATAGAAGACAGCTGGTCATTCCAATGGCTAGAGTAGCCAAAGTTTTTCGTCAGTTATACGACAGTCCATCAGGAGGACATCTCGGTATCAAGAAAACCCTTTAGAAAGTTCGTGTAAGGTTTTATTGGATGAGCAGTTCCGATGATGTAAAGGACTTAGTGTTAGAAATCTACCACCTGTGCTAGAGTAATGGACCCCAATGAAAAAGGAAGGCCCTCATAAAGCAGTACAACGTCGGTAGCTTATTTGGGAAGATTGCCTTAGATATTGCTGGACCATTCCCCATGACCAAGAATTGCAATAAATACATGATGGTGGTTATGGATTATTTCACGAAGTGGGTGGAAGTCTACGCCATTTTAAATCAAGAGGCTGCAACTGTTGCAGACGTCTTAATAAAAGTATTCATCAGTAGATTTGGAATGCTTTTGGAGATCCATAGTGACAAAGGCAGAACTTTTGAAAGTAAGCTTTTCCGAGGGATTTGCGACAGACTAGGCATGAAGAAACTCAGAACTATGGCATCGCATCCACAATCGGATGGAATGGTAGAGCGAGTGAATAAGACGATTGGCAAATACCTGTCAAAAGTGGTTTCCAACCATCAGCGAGATTGGTATTATTATACTTCGCTCTTCTTAATGGCATATAGATCCGCTGTTAATAAATCAACAGGCCAAATACCAGCAAAGTCGTGTTCGGGCGTAAGATGAGACTACCGCGTGACATCGAGTTTGGATGCCGACCTGGAGAAGACATAACCGGTGACGATTATGTGATCCAGATACCAAGAAAAATGGACGACATGCATGAATTAGTTCGCTTGCATTTTAAAATCGCCAGCGACAGAATAAACAAGCGATACGAAACTCATGCCACAGAATGATGTTTCAAGGAAGGCGACAAAGTCTGGCTCCATAACCCAAGAAGACAAAAAGGGTTGTTGTCTGAGGCTTTAAAGGTCTTGGGAAGGTCCGTACCTCATTAGGAAAAAAATAAATAATGCCCTTTACTGTATAAGTAAGATCGCGAACAGTAAACCAAAGGTAGTTCACCAAAACCGGCTGGCTCCATTTGAAGTAAAGAATGGTCCTATTTTATTTATTATATAATTTAAATATGTTTTTGTTGAATACTAAATTTTTCTATATCTTATAACTTCTTACATCCGACATTGTAAAATAATAAAAAAAAATATTCTCTATTACTTTTTTCTTTCAATTCATTTGTGGTTTTTACCCGAATTTTTTAACAGTGCAATTAAAAATTCGGCTGCTGATAGCCAGTTTTTTTAATGAACTTGTTCCAGAAGCTATACGTAGGTGGTTCATTATAACAGATTATTCTAACAACAAAAATAATTTTTATTAAAATATAAATAATATTCTGAAACATTCTATCTTATGATCGTTACATATTATAAAACTAAATGTACTTTTTTATTTAACCAACTTACACATGTCTAACCTAATTTTGAATATTATAAAACAGATATAAAAAATATTTTTTAGAAACCTAGTTAATTTAAAAATGTAAAATGTCTCGAGACTGTTTATGGTCCGTTTACGGTCCGTTTACATTGGCCTGCTGTATTTATTACTTTGGCATTTTTTATCGAGGATATCTGTGGTACAGGAGCGAAAATATTGCTAAACTATCTGGATGATTTTCGACTCTCAGACAATCAATTATTTTCATTATTTTGTGCTATTGTGGAATATTTTTCGGTTCCTTCGTTTTAACTTCGCGCGTTAGAGATTTTCTTTAGTTTCGGAAGTAATTTTTATACCTCTTATGCTACCGTTGCCACGCAGGTCTTTCTGTTTGTATTGTAAATTTTTCTCCGAAACAGTACAAATTTTCTAATGTCTGTTTTGATAAGGCAGTAGAAATTTTCGGTTGCAGAATCAGAACTGGGAGTCTTGGAAAACTGAATTTTTAATCAACTGTATAAGTTTATAATAGTTAATGGAATTAACATATTGTTATACAGGTTTTTGGTCACACAATTTATTTAAATTTAACTTGACAATGCGACTGTACAACTGATAACATGAAGATAACGTCTATCATAAAACTGAACCACAGTTTAAAGCTAAAGAATCAGTTAGCTCACTCGGACGAATTGGATGTTCCAAAAAACATCCACTCCAGGCATACAAATTTAGGATGCAGAGAAGACTGCTGTTTGAATATTGGCGGTTGCCATACCTATATTGTATTGGTTGTACTAATAATAATAATAATAATACTCTCCCTAATTCAACCCCTTGCGAGTGAATTTTAAACCCAAAAGCTGAGCTTGTGCAGGGATTTTTATTTGCCGTGGCGCTCTGGGACGACTAGTAAGAGAGCCCTCTGCAAATTTCGACCGTCATGTGATAACGAAATGAAATATATGTTTGATGATTTTTACCTACTATTCGTGAATGTTTTTGTGCGATGTTAAGAAAAAGAAAATGTTTTCCTTTAACGATATATATCAAGATATATTTAAATATGTTATTATCCGGAAAACTTTAAGGGCAAACAAAATTAGCGCTGTCATGCCCTATGTGATTTTTTTAATATAAATTTTTTTAACCACCCTGCTCAGAATTGCGATTGGTACAGGTGCCATTTGGTAAAGTACAATGTTTTTACATGCTTTTGAGGTATATTTAATTTCGTTATCAAATGATGGTAAAAATTTGCAGTGGGATCTTGGGCTATTATAATGTGATTCTGTATGCGCCAGGAATACAAATCAGAGTTGCGCAATGCATAAACTGAAACATAAGGTTCTTTCGTTCGTCCCACTGGTGTAGGAATGAACTACACCAACGTACACTAAACCTTTCGTTCGACCCGGTGTAAAATCCACCAAACCTTCCTGTCGGCGATGTGGTGTCCACTGGTGGATATTTTCTCCACCAGCTATTTAGCAGAAGTGAATTACACTCATCATGTGTATAAGTAATAAGGAGGGAAGTAAACTAAGGTAAATAAGGTGGTGTAACTGGTGTAATTTACACTGGTGGACACTGCACCAACAGCGAACGAAAGAACCTATTGAGATCAAAATTGCCGAGGCAGAGTAAGCGAACTGATTCTTTAGCTATAAACTGTGACTGAATTCTGACGTTAGGATCATCTACTTATATAGCTCGCTTTTACCTTCTAGAACCTACGCGAACTATCCAGATTTTTCTTGACAAGGAATGACATTTTGAGACATTACTGGAATATTCTATTTTCTCGTTTTACTCGTACCTATGACGAACGCAGTACACAGTAGGGTCATGGGTGACATTGCACTTCTTTTTGTATTCGTACGTTTCTTATAACAGCCGCTGCTACTGCAGGGTGCAGGGTAACAATATTTTGGTATTTTTATTGTGACTTTCGAAGATGATTAATAAGGCAATGGTGTAACAGTTCGTAATACCTGACTTAATTACATTTGGTATTAAATTATCTGTTTGAGTGTACGAGTTAGTTGTAATAAATAAATGATCTAAACAAGCAGAGAATTACATAGAATTAGTAGAACCTATGCTATCAAATTTTAATATTCTCGGTTGTAACATGAGCAAAAAAGTTTACTACCTCCACAAC